GCGTTTCCTATAAGTCTTCCTACCAATATGACCAAGTTGCGAAAACAAGGTCAAACAACTTCTATACTAGTCTATCACTTCGAACGAAATATGGTGAATACAGCTCTTATATCAGACTAATTGATAGTTTCAAAATGGCTATTTATGAAGTGAGAAATATGGTAAACATAGTCGTTGGTAAAGAAATCATTTACCAACAAGTCATCAGAGCACTAATCCAAATCAAAGACAGTCTTTCAATTCTTGGTTAGGCCCATCCATGAACAAAATGAAAGGTGCAAATCGTCAACTTGTAGGGGCATCCTCCTAAATATAAATTATCTTCATATCTATGAGATGTGTTCATCCTATTCCGTTTAAGGCGATAAGACTTGTAGCTGAATTCTCTCACACCGCGTTACGCTTCCATTGAAATTTGCATAACCTCGCTTCCCAAAATGTAATATCATCCAGACCGGAGTAAACTGCATTTGTGGTCTCGCCTAGGTACCGCTGGGGGTGCTGATGAGGCCAATGCGAGGTTGAAACTGCAGTCCACCCCAATCGAGACGAAGATCTCATACATCTGATTTACTGGAAGCCTCTAAAACGAAAAATCTTTTCATATTTGCCAGCTCTAGGCCTTCTTAGTGGCATCACCGTTGCCCCTAATTTCCAGAATGGATTCCACCAGAGTCACTAACTTTCCTTTCAACCTAAGCCTTGTCCGAATTAAGAGGGAAAATCCTCTAACGTCGAATATCGAAAATCCTTATATTTCGAAATTACAAACAGACCTGATACCGAAAATACTGTACTTGGGTAGACGATTGAAGACAGCATACCTCAGACCCCAGATGTGGCTAACCGTACTGTCGATCACATTTCGAGCCAATCTATTCTTCAGGTTTTTCTGTTGAGTATACCGACTAGTTCTTCTTTTCTTTTACGAATGACGTAATTGCTGGCTGGTGTATGAGGTAAAAATAGGCCTTCTTAGACTCTGTAAGAGTCAGTATGAGCATAAACGACGGTTACTGCAAAAGAGTTTGAGCCACCTTCTCGTCAACAATAGTGAATAATCATCTTGACTGTCAAATCAATTAGATTTGCAGTCATGACTTGCTATTCGCAGTGTTGATACGACCACTTTTGCCCGACACGCACCATGGATTGTCTTCAACACTTACAGAAGACCTTTTTAACGGATTTGTATACCTTTGGAATGTAATTGTGTAAGTATTTACTGACTTTACGCTAGATAAAGAGGCGACATAAGATAGCAGGCAAAAAGTCTGATCTTGAAACTGTGCAGACCAAGCATGCATTTATATTTCAGTTTCGTCCATCTTCCTCACTTTTAAGCTGAGGGAGATATTTGACGCACAAAAGGATCACCGTAACTCCCAGCACACGAATCCATCTGTCTGTCATTTGGCGATGGTTGCTCTGAGGGAGAATGCCGGACATTGTATTTTTTGTTTTGTCTACCAGAGTCTCAGGTTAGCTATTCAGCTAGGATGTTGTGTGCTGTGAAGAGAGATGGTGACTGACGGAGTCCCGAAATGTAAAGAATACTTTAGCAATGAAGACAATGAAGAGAGAAGCTTTGAGCGCCTTCTTCATATTGTTTAACTTGGCTCTTTGAGTCGCTTTATCAAGGTTGGCTGCTGTGTCTTCGCTTGTTAATGCAGCAATAGTCGACTTGGCCGTTGGCAACTGAGCCTCAGATCGGATAGGGGAAGAATCGAAGAGGCATCGAAGAAGTCCTCTAAAATAAATCTGGCCGTCATCGGCTTATGAAAATAATGTACATAGCAAAATGTAATCCCTCACACTAATCGAGGTTTGCACGACAACTAATCGGCATCTAAGTCCTCAAGACTATACGCACATGTAGGGGATCATGAATGGTAAAAGAGAGAGAGAGAAAGAGTTGAGATGCTCTTGCCCCAACCACCCTCTCTCGTTCTGGATTCGACTATGATGGATCGGCCGAGTGAAGGGAGAAAGGGAGGTACTATCGAGTGGGATAAAATGAGGCAGGATGGGGCATTGAGGGAATTGGGGAATGAATGAAAGAAGGGTGGGGTGATGGGGGACTGTGGGGGTGGGAGGGTGAGTGAGTGGGTAGAGGGAAATGAGCAGTGGTGCTTATTTGCAGACTGGTGGTGCCGGCGACACTGAAACCTCGTGGATGGCGCGTTTTTTTTGCATTTCAGACAAAAGGAACTTGGCCTGAAAGTCTTCAACGGCTTCGTAAATTTGTCGTGTTGGCCTCAGATGTCGAGCAGGCTCACCAGTCATAGCACCACCGTTCACGGTTGCATAGCACAACTGTTCATTAGTTCTGGCCTCGTCTAAAGCCTCATTTTTCAGATTGGCCGGATACATGGTGCTTGTCGTT